TTGTTGTTCTTGTGATTGGGGGATTATTTTTGAGATGTGTGTGAAAGGGAATCTTGTTTTTTTTATTGTTTCAGTTTTATGACATGGGATCTGCCTCATGTTACGGGATCTGATGAAACAACCTGACTCCTATTACTATCTAAACTCCCGTCTCGGAGGGTTTAGTTTATACTAGTTCAGCTCCAGGAAATACTCATATTCTTGTTAGCTCCAGGGCTGTCATTTGTGGATGACTGGTGATCTCTTTAGCCATGAAACAACTTCAAGGGGGCTTCTACTACTAAGCAATTATGGGGCTGTTATTTTGTGAAGGTATATAAAACACATATACTTTTGTCAGTGGCCCTCGGAATACATACAGTACACAGCCCGTGTAGTGTTTTGAAAAGGCCCCAACTCAATGAATATTGGAAGATTCCACTTCGCCAGTTTAACTCTGCCTTTTCACGCTGTTTTCTCTTTTCTGGTGGCGTTTCACCAATACCTGGGGCTCTAAATGTGTAATCATCTCCAAGATGGTGTCCACACTGTGGCCTGACTAAAGAGAAGGCTGAACACACAGCGACACCTTCCTGGTGCATCGATCTGGAAACTGTTGAAATGCCATGACAGTGCAACAGTATGACACTGTAGAAATTGCCAGTTTGGTGCATCAATCTTAAACTACTTCTGCCATTTTTTTTCTTTTTTTGGTGCATCAGCTTGAAACTGTTTTCACCATTCTGATGCACATTAAACTCTTTGTCAATCCCACTGCACTGTACCAGTGCCCACAGACCTGTAAGTGATTGTATGTAGATCTGACCTTTTCTTTTCTCACCTGTACTGTGCTATCTGCTTTTCAAGTCAAGGTGAGATCCTCTAATCTGACTCTAAGAGGTATAGTAAAAAGCAGCTTAAAAAAAAAAAACTAAAAAAAAAACATAAAAGACAAGCTGAAAGACTTCAAAAAGCTTATGCTTATTATATGTCTTTTATTGAATTTTGTTTTTGGAAAAAAAAATAGATTTTAATGCGTGGAATGTGTTTTGGTCAGGAAGTACAAGAAAAAAATTAACATTGTTCTAAGCTGTCTATGTTGTTTTTTTATTTTTCAGCAAACTTTGAAAAACTGCTAAATGAGTGCTGTAGTCTCTGGTTTTGCATCATTAAGTCATTCAGACGTTTGATTTTTGTTTTTTCTTTGTTTTGCTTACTTTTAGTGCTACCATGGCTCGGGTTTTTAAAAAAAGATAAAATGTCACTCTGTAATGTCATCAAGTTCATGAATCACTTCTTATCAGGTTCAAGTGGTGAAATGGAGTTTTATTTTGTGTTGAGGAGAAGCCATTGCAACAGCATCTTCAGTGCAGGCCTTACGTGACAACTAGTTCGCTGTAACCTCCCAGCTTCCAGTTAAACCCAATATATCAGTGTACTGGGACTATTTAAGAAGAACAGATCAGTGGTTGTGCTGCGGGTGATGGGAAAGTTATGAAGATCCAAAGGCCATCACAACTCAATGGCTGCCTTTTGCGAGACGAGTCCAAAATGCGGTTCTGTTTCATACTTTTCATGTTAAGGGTACTGTTTATATAACTTTTTGTTTGTGTGTCTGTTTGTTTGTTTGTTTTTTTTAAGTGCCAATTAATTAAAATGAGACCATTAAGGTGCATTTTGGGGTGGGGAATGGTACACTGAGAGCATTAAAGGAATATTTTATGGGTCACGGGAGGGGGGTGGGCGGGGTTGGTAAAACGGAACCAAACCTTTTTCACTAACGCTGTATTAATAATTGATAACGATAGTTGTTTAGAACAAGTTTTCAGTTTGTTATCTTAAAGAACTAAAACTGCAAAATGTTGTGTGTAGAGAATTCAGTCACGCCACAGTGTTTTGAAGCAAGCGTTCTTAGGCATTCTTTTCTTATATTAGGCTACAGTATGGCTATCGAATGACAAATAGGACACAGACATTTAAAATTTTTTATTTAGTATAAACGAAAGAGACATTATAAAAATGTATATTTTACATGTCAATGCTATTTTTGTTTAACAAAAAGAAAAGAGTATATCACATTGGGCTTTGGTGTTGAGTTTGAGCAGTCACATTGCTGCATTTGGCTTTTCCCTTGTCTTGCCCATGGTAAACATGAACACACACGAACCGTTTGCTTTTCTCATGTCATCCTGAGTTCATTTTATTATTTGCTAGCTAAATAACGAAAAGTGGCAAGTTCACTAAAAAGAAAGCATGCACAAACTTGCTGTTTTGCTATCTGTTAACATTTTTAATTTCATACATAGAACTACAGGATTTACTTGATAATTTTCAAAAATTTATGATGTACAGTATTTAATATAGGCCTATTTTGTTGTATGTGTTGCATATTATTCAAAAACCGAACAAACTGGGGCCTCTGTTACAAGTGGCAAAGCTTTCTGTGTATAATTTGTCTAATAAACAGGTTTTCTACAGTGGGATGGTATTTGTTGTCTTTGCTAATATAGACAACCATCAGAGGAAAGTCACACTTCAAAATTCAACATGAAAAAACACAACAGTTTGTGAATAATTAGTTAAAGAAGAGGATATTTATCGTTCCTTACATTAAACAGCTGTGCTCAAACTTATTTTGGCATGTTCCCCCTGCCCCATGACTTTCATCAATTCTTTACAATATAAAAACAACCAGATGAATTCTCTGTGATGTAAACATTAGCACAGTAACATCAGCAAACTATTGTTTATTTCTGAGGAAAAAAGTAATTCTACATAGTGTCACTTTTGCTTTTTTCTAACGTGCTTGGCTGTGTCCCACCTGCAGTGGCTCTAAATCCCACCACAGACTGAGAAACACTGCACTAAACATATCACTTCCTGGTTCCCAACACACGGGAAAACTCTTCACATTTTTTCCTTATAAAGGAAGCATCTAAAGATTTAAATTCACAGCTTTCACCGTTTTCATGTATTTTACGGCAGTGTTGATCCAGATACTGGATATCAGAATCATGATAGAAGTGGATACAAATGTTTTGTGAGTTCATTTCATGTGTGGAATACGTGTGAAGTTCAAGCCTGAGCTAAGCTTTTGTGTCTTTCCTATATAGGCTATCACTTCAAAGGCCCGTATACTGCTGTTAACAGCTGGATAGAGATCCTGCTGAGGATGACTGCTGTCAAGTTCACTGGAGCATTACACTGCAATAGCCTTTGTGAACCAGATAGTGGCACTACATAGCTCCCACAAGTGTCTCTCTGAACTTACTGTTAGCACTCAGTGATGAGTTGAATGGTTGTCAGGCATTCCCAGAGCTAATTAGAATTAATGGAAGACAGTGATGGACACAGCTGAGCCACAGCAAATTTGAACTAAAGGTCTGAGATCACTGTAAGCAACTTAATGTAGACTTAACCACTCACATTTCACCCTTTTGAAGAGGAAGCATATAGATTATAGACTCTAAAACAACTATGCATTCTTTTTATGGCATAAAATATAACTTGTAATAGATCTCTATATATTTAATGAGAAGCCTCAAGAAAATAATATAGACACGCACAAAGCTTTGTTATATATGATTTTACTAAAGATTAAGTCTATACTGGTTTAGCTATAATGAAGGGAGTCTAGTTGAAATGCTGTTAATTTCGAGTTTTATTGACACTGCTCCTGTAGGTAAAATGGATGAGTTCCAGTGAGTTCCAATTAAAACATCAAGTATTTAAATTCCATGATCTTCATTTTTCGGGAACAGGAAGCTTCCCCTCCGTTGTTTCCTATTTTAAAGTTACACATTTAGAAGATTACTTCATCCGAAGCAATCCCAGATCTATGCGGGTTTAGTTGATTTAGTTGAAACGCAGATACGTTTTGAAATCCCTGTCCAGCTCCCCTCACCCCAGTCTCGTGCCCGTCGCGCCCCTGTCTCCAGGGAGATGGGAATGAGAAGGGGCAGCACGCAGACTCCTCTCGCGCACTGGAATGGGAGCCCGCCACTCTCCCTCGAGGAGCCCCCCAGGCGTGACCAATGGAACATAGAGTCTCCATTGTGGCTGCGACACTTTAATAATCGTCAGCTACAATATCCAACCTGTCGGTAGCTTCAGGAGCCCGGCACAGCCCGTTAGATGGGGGGGCTCGTAGGTGGGAAGAGGGGGCAAACGCTCGGCGCCAGACCTCTAGCCCGCAAGACGTCCCCATGATGAATACATGAATAAAAAATGGAAAAGACTGATGTCGGATTATCTCTGAAATTATGGGGTTCCTTCACACAATTCCTTGCTATATATTGTGTCGTGGATATCTCGCGGATTATGAATGAAAACGCAAAAAAAAGAATTCTTTATTTTTTTTTATTATTTGATAAGTTTATTTCATTTGAATTTGGTTAGATTTTTTTTTTATATTACCAGGATACTTTGGCAGCTACATTCGGGTTTGCATCTCTTGATCTTTGTGTCCCATACGCCCATACACCGATCTTCTGCATATCCTTCTAATCCTTCTAATTGACTGCGCTGAGCCCATTTCCCATCAGCAATCACCCTCTTGCTATTTTGCCAGATGCCTAAAGTTTACATCTCGGTAAGCACGGCTCCTTTGATCATCAGACTGAACGTGGTTCAATTTGCTTCCCGTTGATTTTTTTTAACTGTGGCTTTAAAAGCCGTATTTCCTTTTTCTAAAGGTCGCCTATCTTATAGAAGGCATGGTGAAGTTTGGCAATAACGTCGGTGTGTGTGTGCGCGAGAGAACCCTTCAACCGCGCGCCACTTGTGTCAGTACGGAAACAGTGTTGAGACCCCTACTCATGTTTCCGTTCCCTGTGAAGCCCTTTTTTACCGAAAGGGCGGTTCCGAGAGCTGGATCAAAAGGTTTTAGAGCCGCTACAAAAGAAAAATGGAAACTGGAGATGATCTGAGAATGAATGAATGAGCGCGCGAGCCCCAGGAACCGCTACATTCTTTTTTTTTTTTTCTTTTTTTTTTTTTTTTTTTTGGCTTTTGGTCACGCTTCATCTACCCACGACTTTTCTTCCTCAACTTTGTTCATTTCTGCTACTGGTGAAATCCAGCAGTTTGGTTTTGGCTGAAGCGGTTTTATAGTGGAAAGCATTAAATGAACTAACCGAGTCGCCGCTTCCACAGCCGTGGGTAGCAAATTAACCACTTGAACCTTGCCATTCGCCTCTTTAACCCTCTCCCTACTCTCCGTCATTCCTGAGATGTAACACGGGCTCAGAAGCAGGTAGGTGTTCTTGTCCCGTCCACGCTTCTCACCTATAAACCGTCATCACTTGCACGTGCGTCCTGTGGGAGGTTCCCCTTACCTCCCTTGTGTTAAACACCCCCTTAAATTGTAACGTTATCATAAACAGTCCAGCGTCGGGGGGTCATAATCGCCTCTCTCGGGCTTTACCGAGACTTCTCATTGGACATCAACACGCGACCGACGCGAGGAGGGGGGCTTCCAGGCGCGTGCCGCTTTTTAAACCGACGCCGCGCCTTGAGACACCAGAGAAGGAGTCTCGCACGCGACACTCACATTCACACGGTGAGACAACATAGCTGTGCGTGCCTCCGAAACTTTTTTTCTCCACAGTGTTTTTCTTGGGGGGAATCATGGATGTCTTAACTGTGGAGGGCTGGAGCAAATGCGCACGTGAGGTGCCGGCCACGCACTCGCGGCAGCAGAGTTGTGGGAGCCCCAGAGAGGTGGAGAGGGGAGGGAAGCAACAGTTCGAGGAGTCCCGCTACGAACCTGGGCTGACGCTCGTGGACAGCGATAGCGACCCACGCGCCTGGCTGGCTTCCGCTTCTGGCACCTGTGCGGCACACGCCACTTCACCCGACTACCTGCGGCACTCGCCATGTCCGAGTACCGGCTCCTACCACGGTGAGGAACAGCACCAGTGCGTGCAACTTTTGAGCAGCTTTCCCGTTAATTATCTAAAAACCGGCTCATGCAGCAGGGGCTATTGGTGGTAACTGATGTAATTTATCAAGCTCTGGAAGTTAAATATAAACAGGAGGAGCGCTGCCTTTATGTAAATTATAACGTTTTTTGCGCAGTTGGAAAGTTGTAACGAGTTTATTGTCTAAAATAGTACTGATACGCTTTTTTCACAACCCAGAGTGTAGCTTAATTTCTTTTCATTTTTCAGAGAGTGGCTCCCCGGGGTCCTCAGGCCATCCCAGCCCACAGAGCTACAGAAAACCTGCCAAGAGCCTCACGTCTTCTTCTCTCAAAGTCAGGGAGTTGTGTCGCCTTAAAGGCACCCTCACCGGGCCCGAAGAGGAGGCCTCCGTGAGACAGAGAGCCCCCTCCCACAAGCCTGTCAACGGAATTCAAAGGCAAAGGAGAGTGGCCGCCAACGCGCGTGAGAGAAGGCGAATGCACGGGCTCAACCATGCGTTTGATGAGCTGCGCAGCGTCATCCCAGCGTTTGACAACGACAAGAAGCTCTCGAAGTATGAAACTCTGCAGATGGCGCAGATTTACATCAACGCCCTCGCCGAGCTTCTCCAAGGTCCGGTGTCCTCCTCCTCCTCCTCCAGCAGCAGCAGTAATAACGACATCTCCAACAACACCAGCTCGCCAAAGTGTGACATTATGCTCTCGTCCACCGCTGGTTATGACGGGATGAAAGACAGGGCCTCTCAGTCTCCCTCAACCTGCAGAGCAGCGGACCCTGCGCCCGTTTCAGGTAGCAGCTTACCTGTGCACATCAGCGGGGTGCCCTTCTGTTCCTCCTTCGACGAAAGTTCGTTTTCCACTAGAGTTGAAAAAGCGATGTGTTCCCCGTCTCCTTCGTCATCTGCTCGGGCGGGCAGTTCGCAGTTTGCAAATGGGAGGAAAGCGTCTCCCCGGAGCGACGGAGAGTTTTCCCCGCACTCCCACTTCAGTGACTCGGATGAAATAGCGATGGAGCTTCATTCGAGTGAAGAAGACGATCTTTCAGAACTGAAGCTGCCCTCACACCATCACCGCACAATTTCCTTCTAAATTCCCACATAAAGACACAGTATAGCGAAGTTTCTCTATAGCTACAGTGAAGTAATGTCCATAAGACGTGTCAATCATAGCGATAGTCCTGCGTTGACGAAATGCGTTTGTAAGAGAAATTCTTGCTTTTTGCAAATAAAAGAAAAAGAAGTTTAATGTTTAATTTAACATGTTGCATCGTTTAAAGATCTTTTTTTAAAATGTGAGTAAGGCCTAATTCGATTCTGCCAATAAATATCTATCCTATAATTTTTCAGTCTCCATGGAGACGTGGTTGGAAGACCCCTCTGCCATGTCGCGCGCAGCACTGCCACGGGTATTTCCCACGTCCCTCCAACCAAAAAGCTGTCTTCCACAAAAAATCACAAGTTTATGGATAATTGCTTATATTTGATAATGTAAAGACGTTTTTGTAGCTATGAAATGAGTTTTGTTGTGATTTATGTTTTTTTTTGTAAAAATGAATTTTGTTTTGCAACTTTAAAAGTTCATGATGTGCACTTTAAACTATAAGAGCCAGAGGCTTTGTTTGTTGTTTGTTTGTTTTCACACCATAAATATAAAAATAGAGGTTTGCTTTGTTTGTTAGTGTAGTGCTGCCAACTCCATACAAATAGCCTATTTAATGTAGCCATCATTGCTGCCGCCTTTTGTATTTTCTTTTTTTTTATCTTCACATCAGCTTGTGTGTCTTTTTTCTTTGGTTGGTAACTGTTTTTGTTCTTGTATGTAATGTATTTATTGCTCATAGCCCATGTTTCATGTGATTTGCTTTTTTTTAGTTAAATTTGCCCCAGGAAAAAAGCAATCATTCGCCATTCTTAGTTATGTTAATTTGATTTTGGAAATAATAAAAAAAAAGCAAACGAAAATGTCATGTCTCTGTTTCTGTGACCCTGTTGATGATGATGATAATAATAATAATAATAATAATTTCTTTATTTCTATGGATAAATTCCAAGTAAAATAGCACCAAAACGTTTTATTGCCTAATTTTTGCATATAATGCATAAACCTTAACGAATTTTGAATCGATAAAATAACGTTAACGTCAGTTTTGGTTCCATAGGTTTTATGAGTTAGGCAAATACAAATAGGCCAAGAAGTTTGATTTTATCCCTAAAGCTATAGGAGGAAAAAAACAGAAATTTAAACACGCATTTATGTTTAATTAAAGACGCTTTTAATATTTGAGCTTCTCTTATGTAATGTGATGTAAACACGCGCTCGTAGGCCATATGTTGCAGGTACACGCGCCCCCCCCCCCCTGGCTTGTTGCACCTTGTGCTCCAAACTACAAGTTGCAGTGATCGACTTCTTCAACACAGAAAAGTTCGCTTTAATTAATTTCAGTCTGTTGCTTTCTTGAAACAAACTTTTTTTTTCTTTTTCCTGAACTCTTGCCACGCTGTCCATTTGGTGAATACCGGATTTATTAATGGGGAATGTGCATTAATTTCAGGCTATTGTTGGCAGGCTCGTGGGCCGAGGTGTTGGATGGCCTCAGTGAAGCACGCTCTGTCAGCTGGTGAGCGCTCACGGGTCCCCACCGTGTCCCCGAGGACCTGACTCGAGAGGGAACACACTTTTCTCCATTAAAGAAAGGCCTGCACACACACGGGTGCGCGCACATACACGCACACACTGACACACGTGTACACCTCTTCGCCTCCGCTTCTTTCTTTTTCTTTCTTTCTCTCCGTCAACTTAGACAAACACGCACGTGGAACGCACGCACCCCGCTCGCGCGGGCTCTGGCAACCTGGGCTGCTGCGTGACTCAGGCTCAAATTAGTCGTCCCCTCCACCCCCGCCCCTCTTTCTTCAGGCTATTTACTACAATGCTTAAAAACCCTGGCGGATAAAGGTGCCTGCTACAGAGGAGAGGAGCAAAATAGGCACCTTCGAAATTATTCATGATGGTGAGCAACCTGTTTGCTACCTGTCACTGCTATGTCTCCCACCCACTGTTATGAGCCAATCGCAGTCTGCGCCCCTGCGCTCGCCCCTCGAAGGCAGGGAATAAAGGGGAATATAATAAGGAATCCGTGTTAAATTATTAAAAGAATTTATGCAGCTAGAGCTGTATCCGAGTATGATCGGACAGCAATTTGAGCCGAGTTCGTTTTGCGGTTAAGCGAGCTCAAGTTTCGTAAACATTTTTTTTTTCAGATGGATACAGAAGAGCCAGAACAGTAACACTAATCATCTGTGTAACCACCAACCCCCCGCAGAGATGTTTAAGACGTAACCGACTAGAATGAGGCCACAACAAGTATTCAAATTCTGGTCTAGGATCGGGTTCAAAGAATCACTGACACTTCTCGTTATTCAGCGCAATGTTAACAGCTGTCTGAATCAGATAAAAGCAAATAAATAAGTAAACAAATGAAACGAGATTAGCTGTAAAACGATATCCACGCACAACAAAGAATGTGGCGCCCGACGCTTTATGTTTAAGCGAAGCAGTTTGTTTTTATTTCTAAAGCATTCATGTTTGATGGGCTATGCAAATACTCAGGCTTAACTGGGAAACCCACAACCGCTGAGCTTTCCGAGGAGTTTTTATAATATGACAGGCTATTTGGATTTAAATTGATGGTTTACCGCAGAAACCACAGGATTCGACTTCTAATAATGCAATACCTTTATTTTATCTTATTTTTGCAGGGTTGAGTAATTTGCTGACTTCTTTCTTAATATAAAACGACACAATTTTTCGGCTACATTAGGGTTAAAATTTCTATAAACAAACATATACAAAGTAAAAAAAAACATTTTAAAAAAAGCATATCTGTAACAGGTGGGATGCTGGTAGGCAGGTGGAGGTCTCGCTGTTTCAGGCACATTAATTATTAATGCATGGACGTTATGAAAAAAAAAAAAAAAAAAACAGAAAAAACAGAGGAGACAGCAAACAACATAGAACGACATAATAAACTGAAGTAGATGGCAGTAAAACAGAGTCCGGGAGAACTGGGGCCCCTGACGCGTGTGGATACTGCTGCGAGTAAAAGGAGAAGCAAAAAGTAGAAACAGAACAACAAACGCACATAGAGCTTAATTTGCTTGTGGCTAAAGCTTAAACTCAGATGTAAGTTTTGCACATTGTCTTTACTGCTTTAACATATTTCTTTACGTGTGCAGATGCCAAAAGAATAAGAAACTTAAATGCATCATGCACAGTGCATAACATTGAAAAAAAGGTGCAAGTTTTGTGCAAACTGGTTAAATCAGCAGGGATCACTGAAATAATTCTTTTTTAATTCTATTTTTCCTGCATTAAGAAGTTTAAAAGTTCCAGTGAAGTCCTGGGATGATAAACAGTCAATGCATCTGAGGCTTGTGTTCCTTCGTGCTCATTTCTATAAATATATTCAGAAAATGTGCATTCCCGAACTTTTTTTTTAATGAAAGAAAGGCACTTGCATTTTGTATGAGATATGGGCAGCCGAGTTGTGTGCTGTCCAAAAAGCCACTGGTCTCTCTGGGGACCCAGAACAAAAGGCAGAACTGGGCCATAGTTTCCATCTGCTGTCTCAGAGACAGAGAGAAAGAGAGGTAGAGAGAGGGCAGTGAGTGAGGACACCATGGGCAGATATAGAGACGGAACAATGAGTGAGTGTGTGTGTGTGTGTGTGTGTGTGTGTGTGTGTGTGTGTGTGTGTGTGTGTGTGTGTGTGTGTGTGTGTGTGTGTGGTGCTGGTGGGGGGGACGAAAGAGAAGAAGAGCAGCAACAGGGAACAGGATGAGAGTAAGGGCAATCAAAAGTTGGAATAACTTAATTTCTATTCAGTTTAACCAACTGTAAAGGGCTAACACACACACGCAACAATAACTAAACACCTATTTGATCTTTATTTGATCCTCATATTAGCCTAAAGAACCCACCTTTCATTAGTTGCCTATTATAACGCGTTGCAATGTAACCTATAGTGACCAGCAAACACACAATGCAGCTGTGATGCAAGGAGCACCTGTTGCATTGCATGCTCCAACTCAGTGATGCTATTAATTGTTAATGAGTTTCATTGGAAATGTTGACACAGAATAACAAAGTTGTCCTTTGTGTAATTTTACAGTGAAACTACTGGTAAAAACAGAACTTGTCACATACTGTAAATAAAGCAAAGTGTACACTGGATTCAGATGAGCACAGGTCTCAGTGTTTCTGACTGAGGAACAGCCAAAGAGTGGGAGGACAGCATTTATGTAATGCTTTGGGAAATATTTTTTAATGGATTTATTTTGCATTTTCAGTGAGCTTATGATAGTCAGTCTGTGTAAAATCACCTATTTTTATATTGTAGAAGTAGAATAGATTTTTTTTAATGCAATTTAGTTAAATTAAAACTCATAGCAGGAAAGGAAAACTTGAACAATGGGCACGTAATTTAATGGCAAGTATGAATTTGCCTTTGAGATCGATAAAGTTATTCTTGAGTTATTTTTGTTCTAAGTATTGTTTGAAAAGATCAGAGCTGGCACAAATGAGACATGAGTATGAACATGTGATGTGCTCACACAGGCACTGCTCTATTTTACACACATGCCTGCACTCGTGTCTCTAAATTTTTGTATCCACACTCCCAGACTCCCCGGCATTAAAAATGCAACAAATTTCAGAAAATTCTGCAAAATTAAAAATCTTCACAGTAGCAAAATGGCATATATGTGTAGGATATATATGGATTTCCTCCTAGAAAATAAAGCTATGAGTAAGCATAAAGATATTTCTCAGTAGGGTTCAAGCAACAAAGTCGGGAGTTTGAGTTTAGATAATGTCCTGATTCTCTAAAAAAAATTAAAAAAAAATTAAAAAGAGCCACAAAACAGAAAATGCAAAAAATGTGATTGTTACAGAAAAGAAAATACTATTAAGCACACTTCTGCTTTTATTTTGAAAGGGTCTAAGACCCCAGGGCTGTCCATCCTTGTAAAAAAAAAGGTGTTAAGCTATTTTGACAAAATACATCCTGTGGTTTCAGTGATTACATGCCGCCCATGCCTTAGAGCATTTCAGCCTGCACACGAACACACCAAAGCAGTCGCACTACGACAAGGAAGAAGATCATTTATCTCTGCGGTTCGCTCCATGAAAGATGTCCATGGGTGAAGCAGGGTCTCCCAGGGCTTTGTTCTGGGCAGGGTTCACCTCTTTGTGTCCACCACCTTCAAAGCAAATGTACATGAACACGAACATGAGGCTTCTTGGGTAACCGGCCCATTGAAGAACAGCACAATGGTGCTACCAATTATCCACAGAGCTCAATGCTCCTGTGGAATCAGTTACATGGCTTTGTGTGTGTTTTTGTGTGTGTATTTATGCCTGAGAGAAGGGGTGTGTATGTTATATTTGCATGTTTGACGATGTAAAGCTTTGATCTGTAAGTATGTGTCTGGGTACATCTATGCATGCAGCATTACTCAGTGTGTGTCTTTATATGTAAGAGAGTGTGTTTTTCCTTTATGGTCCTATGTGCTAAATCTTGTAAACTTTTATTTTTTTTCTTTGTTTTGTGTGGACCGGAGAATGGTCATTCTATTCCGGCTGTGGATTAAACTGTAAAGACTGAAATGTTCTTTTGGTGTGTCGGACATTGTAAATGATGCGTTGAGACTGTGTCAGCCATTTTAGACAGGATAATTGCTGTGTTAACTTTTACTGTTCTTCTGTATTGTGAGTGCTTT